GCCGCGGATCACCGCTGTGTATCACTATTGCGTTTTCCGTAAGAAAAATTGCTCCGCGACCGCGTGTTTATCTTTGAGAAAGTATAATCAGCGTATCTCAATGGCCATCTGAAGTACTACTAATAACAGACGGTAAACAGAAACTCTCGGTACAACGTGATATTTTACTTTGTCTTTCTATCCGTGAAAACACACGTGTTTCGTGCGATTTTATGTATTAGATTTTAGCAACTAAAATAGCAAAAATGAGTAAATTCTCTTTTTTTTTATTATCCAAAGACAACAGCTGTGTGTGGTTAATGTGTATTATAATCGAAGCTCTAATTATTTATTTGTTCGTTTACATAAACGGAGAACACGTTCCTGTACTCCAGAATTCAAACAAAATAAGTTGCGATATAAAATAGCACATACATATAAATTAAATAGCAAATGTATATAAAAAAAATTAAAAATATATACAAAAACTAAAACAGAAACAAGCACAATAGCTTTGAGAGTCAGATGAGACGTGTAAAAAACAAAGCCAAAGACTATAAAAAATTAAACAAAGAAATAAATATTAATCGCGATTGACCGAAGCTCCTCTAGAAAGATGCGCTAAAAAGCGCAGATTTGCAAGAGAGATGCATCTAAATCGCTCTATATGCCGCATTATTTCTCGCGGAGAAGAGGTCCCGACCCCCGCGCGTAAACGTCGAAATCCCGCCGGAGTGCGTCTCGTTCCCACGGGCGCCGAGCGCCGTACGATCGTGGCTCGAGCTGTTTCGAGCGAGCGATTGCCCGTGCTCATGTCACCGGCCGACGATCGTCGATCCCGCGGTTTATATTCGGCCTGGCGATTCCGCGCCAGGCCGCTTACGCGTTTACGACGCCGGTGGAAAAAGCAGCCGTAAACGCGGGCCGCCGCGCGTCGTAAAGGCCTCTCCGCGCGTTCTGGACTATTAGGTTCTGTGTACCGTGGCCGCCGCGACGGGGAAAAAGAGTCGCACGACTTCCACTCGCTGAAAGGATACTTTCTCCGCTCCTCTCTTTCTCTAACGGCTAACGTCGTCGCGCAGTTGCGAAGACGTCGTCGCGGGAAATAATCTCGCCTCGACGTACTCAACGTGTGCGTTTTCTAAATATCAGAACATTTTCTACTTCCAATTTGCGTCTATCAAATTTGATTGATTATATTAATATTTATATAATGTATATGTAAGTCAATATTTTATTATATTGTTTCAAAATCGTTTAAACTGCAATTGTTTAAACTAATCGTTCAAAAAAAGTTCAGCTCGGATTACGCGGCGATCTTCACGTCATCCGCGCACAATGTCGTTATACTTCATCGACATCCGACAATAGAAAGTGAGAAAAACAGAGAAAGAGAGAGAGAGAGAGAAAGAGAGAGAAAGATCTCGACAGAACCGTCACGAAATCACGTGAACGGAAGGCAGTTCTTACGACGGTCACACGAAATAGCACGTAGAGATCACGGGGGCTTTCGTGATACACTGTCATAGGCGTTTTCTACGAAGTGTAACGGCAAAGTATCATCTTGGCGCGCGGAGGTTACACGGTAGTCGTCGTCAGACTTTAACGATCGTCGCACGAACTTCCATTGTCCTGGCGTGTCTCGTCGGAGGTGCTGATTGACAGCGAAAAATGAGTACACGGATGCGGTCGCGCGAAAGTAACGCCTGTTCCGGCAACAAGAGCGCACGTTTACGGAAAGTGGGATTTATAACAATGTAAAGAGAGATTTTGCGGATATAAACAGAGCTATTTTCATATTAAAGAGACAGAGAGTGAGAGAGAGAGAGAGAGAGAGAGAGAAAGGGTAAAAGAGAGAAATTTCTACGTTTTTCACGAATAACACTTTTACTACGATAATGTATCCGATCGCTGAAACGCGAATACCACCTGCAAATTGACCACCGATGTTACAATCGTTTGATTAATTACCGACCTGAACTAAAATGGTTGTTCTCTGTCGTCCATAAATTCCGAAACTATAATATAACCGCATCGCCGACGCGCAGTCATCCGCGACCGAGCGACGTCAATTGCAATGAGTCACTTCTATCGGCAAGACGAGGTGGATTTTTTTTTTTTTTTTTTTTTTAATATCGAATAGAGGCGGGCTCCGCGATCTAGCGCAAAGCGCTCGCCGAGATTGAGATCGGTTTAAATGGCTCTCCCGATACGATCGAGCAGTCAGCGCGATAGCCGTATCTGACGCATTAAAAGCTCTGATTAAATTTGATTTCCACTTTATATTAAACCGCGTCTATTTTCTCCCGCCATGACACCGACACAATCGCAATTAATTATTTTTTTTTTTTTTATAATTGCGTTATTTCTATTGTGTGCCAAAACTTTTGCCGCATCGGCGAAACTCGACATTTGAAATTTTGTTTTCGGAAAAGAGACGTCACGAGCGTCGATCTTGCTCGAGATAAAAAGCGACGATTTTATTGCGACCTTATATACTTTCGATACTTGATCGCGTCTCAGCGATCTCCTAATGGACTAATTATCTCGCCGCATCTTTCGATCGAAGCGATAGATCGCGCGCGGGAACGAAAGATCGAGGACACGAGAAGAGCGAGCGAGGAAGATGCCTCTCTCTAGTTACGGTTCTGTCGTTATTGTTGAATCGCGGCAATGAAACGATGGCGCCCCGGCATGTCCGTCTCGCGCGTCGTTCGATTCAAACGTCGAGATACAAGAGACCATCCGTCCTGCTCCACCTCCTTCGCCTCGTTCTTTCTCTTTGGATTTCTGTTCTCTCTCTTTCTCTCTTTCATTTCTGCCTTTCTTCCCCGCGTTTTCGCGCTTCTCTCTTCTGCTCGCGCGGCGCGGGAATAGATTCAGACCGGAATTATTCGCCGCGGCTACTCTCTCTCGCTCTTTCTCTCGAATTCTCGTCCGTTTCCCCTCCGTTTCTTTCGTCTCCGCGTCTCGTATGGTTTTATCGCCTCGAGAAATCGACTGCAGACTCGGCACTAAATTACCGGGTGGCACCGTGTACGCGACCGTGATAGACGCGCCAACACCTAACGCCAGTCACGCCGGGGCCTCGCGCTATTGTGACGCGTTATCCAGCGTGGCCGGCCCGGCCGCAAAGTGCAGCGCGCTTCGGATCACGGCGATTTCGCGAGATCCGAGAAGGGTATATGTGTGCGAGCGCGCGCATCAAGAATCGTGCATCGAGATCCGCTGGCGAGTACGCTTCCAGATCTCTCTCTCGTGCGCGCGTGCGCGCTCTTATCGCGACGAGTTCCTCCGCGCTTCGCGAGCGTTTCTCCACCTTGTTTCTAATCTAACCAGCGTGTTTCGCTTTCCACTTCGAGAGGAAGCAGGTCTCTCGAGCTAGCGAGCGTGATAAGCTTTTTTTTAAGCGGACGCGACACATTCGTGCGTTGGATTTGTCTATTCGAAGATAGTCGATTTTGCATCTTACGAAGAGAGGTTTGCACGCCAGGATAACGAGAATATTTTCTTACCGACAAAAATTCGCCGAGACAATCTCGCAATAAAATCACCGTTCTCTCGATTTCAATGCAAATTTCGATATCGCACAGCAATATCGCGAATTCACCGAAACGAGAGAGATTTCACTCGCGAGAATTACGCGCGATGAGCTCGGATGTATTCCTCACGAGCAGCGAGCAGCGTCGATCAATCATTCTCGCAACAAACAGCAGATATATTCCTTAAGTGAACAATGATGGTCCGCGAACACAGAGAAGTACTCGCGAGGAACATCGGGAATCGAGCGTAACTGCATAATCCACGCTCGTAAAGCTGCGGCTGTTATTGCCGCGGGGCGTGTTTCGCGAGCCGGGACTCTTGCGTCAGAAGCGCCCGTCGCGCGGTCGTTCTCGGCGTCGCGTCGTCTGGCGGAGGCCCCCAACTTATGCTAACGAGCCCGCGGCCGTACGCGCGCGCGCGCGCGCGTCGCGATTGCCGACGATTTAAAAATAAGCGTGACAGACCGCGACCGAAGGTATTATTAAGCGGCTGAGCGAGAGCTCGCGCGCGGTCACCCGGTACCTTAATTCCCGGCTACATCGTCGCCGATCGACGAGCATCCCCTCGAGACACCTCGCACGCCCCGCGGGTCAAGGCAAGCCGGGCGTGCGTGGAGATGCGTGCATGTGCGCGCAATGGCGGCGAAACAGGTGGACGGGACATATAATGATCCTTGAATATCCTTCGCCACCGACTATTAAGCACAGCGACAAACACGCGCACATCATTCGAGAAGTAATAACGTCTTACTGCAAATATCCGTCGCGCATTACGACTCGTGAGATCTTGAAAGTTTATTTATTTTTTTTTTTAATTAAATTTAATTCAAATCTCTATGTATTCTTTCTTTTTTTATACATGCTTTCTGAACAGAGGTATTTCAATGCAACGTCAGAAATACGGGATAACGATCACGTTTTTCAGAAACGTCGTTTGGCTAGACAAGCCAGTGATGAGAAAATGTCTCTTTCACGTGATTTGTAACTAAGTGGCGATATACACGTACTGTCTGCGATTCATAATAGCGGAAAAGAGGCAGACAACAGTACTTGTCCCACTCTCTTCTATATTATATCCGATATAATCCGGTATATAACAGTGGCTGAAGCGCTGACAATGAGTTAGTAGTTAGTGAGTGAGTAAGCGATTTTACATGTATATATATATATATATATAATAGATAAATATATAATAGATATATATATAATATATATAATATATATATATATATATTATATATATTATATAT